TGCTGCTGGTGCAATAAGCTGTACGTTTTACGTCCAATGGATGATGATCTGATTAGTCGACTAATCGCAAAAATAATCAGTGACTAGTCGACTATCAAAATAATCGCTTGTGGCAGCCCTAAATGACACTCATTACAGTCGGATGTGAATCTAATGTAGTTAATGAATCCATGAACGAAGAGTCTGATTTAAGAAAGAACATACGAATGATTGAAAATACGCTCAGTTGACTTTAAAACCCAGTGTTCGTTTACCGCTCTCTGTTGGCAGTAAACACATGAATGCCTTCGTCGAGGACATCCTGACGAGGATTCAGGACCTGCTGGAGCTCACTCCACCTGTGAGTATCACAACACCGCCTCTTCTTGCTGTTTCCTCCTCCTATACTAACTCATGCATTTCTCTGTCTAGGAAAACGGTTTCCCGGCACTCCTGACCAGCGACGACCAGCTCTTTATGTTTGAGGCAGCCGGCATCCTCATCGTCAACAGCGAGAGCCCTGTGGAGAGGAAGCAGGCACTGATGAGGAGCCTGCTGACACCGCTGATGGACGCCTTCCGCCTGCTACTCACCAAACTCCCCCAGGAGACTGAGGAGGAGCGTCAGACCGCCCTCGCCGACTGCCTGAGTCACGCCGTCGGCTTCGCCAGGTGAGAATCCATCAACGATCTACTTATTTATTATTCTGTCCATCGCCACGGCGTGCTACTCACCTCGCCACCGTCTGTGGCATTTCAGCCGGACCAGCAAAGCTTTCAGCAACAAGCAGACAGTGAAGCAGTGTGGCTGCACCGAGGTGTACCGGGACTGCCTGCAGGCCTTCCTGCCCGCACTCAGCTGCCCCGTGCAACGGAGCGTGCTGCGCAGCTCCGTCCGCTCGTTCCTGCACCGCATGATCATCTGCATGGAGGAGGAGGTGCTGCCCTTCGTCCCCGCTGCCTCAGAGCACATGCTGAAGGACTGCGAGGCCAAAGATCTACAGGAGTTCATCCCGCTCATCAGCCAGATCACTGCCAAGTTTAAGGTAAGCCGCCGCTGAACCAGCACCAAACCTTCCTGCACACTCTGACTCGCCATCCTTAACAAACTTCTCCTGTTGCCACGGCAGCGGCAGGTGTCTCCCTTCCTGCAGCAGATCTTCATGCCCCTCGTCCTTGCCATCTTCGAGGTTCTGGCACGCCCGGCAGAAGAGAACGACCAGACAGCGGCACTGGAGAAGCAGATGCTGAGGAGGAGTTACTTCAGCTTCATCCAGACCATCGCAGGAAGTGGGATGAACGAGGTGATGGCCAATCAGGGTGAGCGCCACTCAGCATGCCAAGAAACACGTAGACACAGAAGTAGGGTCTGAACCTCACAGGGGAGGGCTCATTCAGGGAAAGGAAGCATAGAAGGAATGAAGGGAAAAGGAAGGAGAGAAAATGGATTAGGAAAGGAAGAAGGGAAGGAATGAAGGGAAAAAAAGAGATGGTAGGAAGAAGGAAATAAATGAGGAAAGGAAACAAGAGGAGAAAACGGTCCAGAATATTTTTTTCTTATTATACTTAAAATGAAAGAACAGGCCAAAGTTAAATGTTTTGTTTCCAGGGGCAGAAAACATGGAGCGCATCGTGTTCACCATCATTCAGGGCGCTGTCGACTTTCCCGACCCCATCGCGCAGAAGACCTGCTTCATCATCCTCACCAAACTGGTGGAGCTGTGGGGTGAGTCTGAAACATGACCTCGACAGGAAGTCGTGTCCTGTGAGCAGGAAGCTCGTTTTCTGTCGCTCCCTGCTGGTCAATACAGGGTGTGAGCTTCACTCTGAGCTCTTCTTCTTCTGCAGGAGGTAAAGACGGCATGGTGGGCTTCCCCGACTTTATCTACAAACACATCGTCCCAGCCTGTTTCCTGGCTCCCCTCAAACCGACCTTTGACCTGTCAGATGCACAGACGGTCCTGGTGAGTTTCTTTAATTCCACCTTTAATTTAAAAAAAATCGCGTTTTGGTGACAAGCCTCAACTGTTTTCTTTTTTTCAGGTTCTGTCGGAGTGCGCTCTCACACTGAAGATGATTCATCTCAAACGGGTAAAAATGTGTTTTTGTGGTTGACCAAGCTTTGTTATGTGTCACCGCGCTGAACACGTGCTGTTTTTGTTTCAGGGACTCGAATTCATCCAGTTCTTGCAGCAGGAGTACCTGCCATCACTCCAGGTGGCCCCGGAAATTTCACAGGTCAGAAAAGCTTAAACCCTGACGTTCAAAAATACCTCGAGACGTGTTCCTTTATTTATGTTCAGTTTTATTCATTTCAAAGTGTTTCTTTATTTAAATATGTTTAATAATTTTGTTCTTGCATTTTTCCCCCCGCCCTTGATAGTTTCTTGTTGGTATGGTAATATATAGTTTGACCCTGCTGACTCTCCGTACTTTGGACGAACTGTGGTTGAACGTTACCTAGTGTTTGACGTTGGACAGGTGGGTGTGTCAGAAAGCCTGCTAACAGTTTGTCTTTTCTTTTATCCATCAGGAGCTCTGCCAGGTTCTCCAGCAGCCTGACGTCAAAGTCCTGAAAAACTACATTAAGGTACGAGTTGTTGTTCTTTCTTGGTTTACGGCCGAGTTCACCTGTTTCATTTCTACTGATGACCTTTTTTTAATGTCAACAGGCGTTCTTCCAGCGAGGAAAACTGTAGGGAAAAAACCTGGAAGTTCACTGGGACTGAAGGACTCTTCACAGGAAGTGGTCATACTGCCACTCAACAATTGAAAAATACAGGACCTTAGCATAGGCGCTGCTCTTGCACTTAGAATTAAATGCATAACAAAGCCCAGCTTGTCTAAGTCGGGGACGCGGAACGAAGCCTGGTGAAACCCCTCCCTCTGAGATCAGCAGATGTGCAGGAGCGCCACGTCTGCTCAGAAACGTGGAGAACTTTGTGGACGCCATGAGGAAAGGGCTTTTTTTTTCTTTTTTTTCCTTTTTCAGGAGAGGATGCCTCTTGTCGGGAAAAGATTGGGTAATTATCCTCAGTGACCTTCTAGGTTAGAAGAATCGATAGCTTTACACTCACATTAGAAACCACATTTCAGAACAGGCTAGACTGAGTTTTATAAGAAGGAAGAATAAAAAGGGCTGACGCATTATTCTTATTTAAAATGTGGCTTTTTGTTTTGTTTTTTTTAAACATACATGCTGAGGAGTGAACGGTTGGTTTTAGGTTTGAAGTGAAACGTTACAGCCCGACTCGATCTGCAGATCAAGTATTATCTTGTTACCTGATCAGACAGAGATCCTCGGCGTGGATTTTAAAACCGAAGACGTGACGGAAATAGACACCACATTTTTGTTTGCTGGATGTGGCTGACATTTTTTTTCTTTAAATTTCAGATGGAAATGAAAATGTAATGGAGGAACAAAGTGTAAATAAGAGAATAAGATGTTAAAAATGTAAATAAAATTCCTAGGTTTAGTTTCTTTTTGTTTTTTAAATATTCATTCCCATCTGGAAAACATGTGCGGAGGCCCATTTATGCCAGGGAAAAAAATGTAATATAAAAGTGAAAGTTTCCGATTTGTGGCATCAAAAGTTTATACAAAAAATTAAATATGCGTTCTTAAAACTTTTTGTTTATAAATTAATGGAGTATTCAATTAAATTCACTTTCAGAATGAACATTTTATTCCAGGTATTTTCTTATAAATGCAACTTGCTGAGTATTAACACAATTTTGTATTTGTTTTTTGAATTTTCTTTTTGGTTACCTTATGGGGACTCAATGCGTAAAAATTTGGTTTCCATAATTTCATAAAAAGTGAATATTTAAACTTACTATAAAGCGTGACTTTAAAGTAAAACTATAAATTTCACCGATGTAACTTTTACACAAAACATTTGACCCACACCATTAGTTTTACTACTTCAATACAAAAATCATGTAAATTGAATTAATCATTACATGGTTATATTTATTATTGCACTGACACATCTTTAAAAAAAACAAAAAACATTTCGTTTGATAAATTTAAAAATGACAATTTGCAAAGGTTGCAAGTTACTCTGTTGTGACTTAAAAGCTTGCTGTGGCTTTTTGTTTGGTTTTTTTTCTCGACCTTAAAGTCACAGTTTTAGGTTGTTTGAAATTAAAATTTTAACAGGTGTGATCTGAAAGTAAACATAAATATGTTTATTATTCCAAAAGTTTATCTGGTTATTAACTGCTTTGATGTATTTAGTCAAACATGAGTGACTTTTTTTTTTTTTTTGATTGAGTAATTAACATTTTTGATGCAGTTTCTCAATATTTTGAGGTTTGCTGTATTCAGTTAAGTTGTGAGTTTCTATGACTTTCATAGATTTTACATTATTCATATCATCAATTTATTAATTAAATATTTTGTTCTAGTCTCTTATAGTTTAACGTTTGGCAATTGAAAAATGTTACTTATTCTGAGTATTTGTACTTTTGATGCCTCAAATCTCAAAATCTAAAACTTGAAAAAAAATCTGAACAATAATAAATGTAATCTAGCATTGAAATTGTTGTGATTTATTCAGTAATGCTGATTTACCAAACTTAAAATTTGAATCTGTTCATCTCTAATTTGGACAACTTTCATTCCTTTTTCTTGGCATATGAGGACCGTAGAAATCGGAACTAAATCATGCGAATCTCCTGTAAAAACAGACCGTTGCTGTTTGCAGAAGCAGCTCGATTATTTTATATTGCAGTGACAATTCAGGACAATTCATTATGCAACACTTTTACTGTGAAGGAGCTGCTAAACAGTTATAACTGTCCTGAAACAGCAACAATCTGTACAGATGCTCTTCACACCTCCAGATTTTGTGACGCCCTGGAAATATTTCCAATGTTTGAATAAGTCGGTGTGTTCATCATAATTTGCTGTAATTTTCCTGAAACTTTGCCTTTGGACAACCTGCTGAGAAAGTGCCTGAAATTGTTGGTTCCAGTTAAAAGGGGACATCTTACACTCTCAAGAAATCCAGCGGGGAAAAAAATCTAATCAACGATAGTAATTTTTTTTTTTCTTTAAAGAAAAGGCTCCGTAATTTACCCAAAAAGCGAATGTTTATTTGAGGAGTAACAGTTGTCAGCTGCGTATTAATACGGATTGAATTGAATGTACAGTTTGCCAATTAATGCTGCAGAACGGATTTGATGACAACAAAAATCTAATGAAATGTCATTAAATCATTGTTTACCTTTTCAGTTAACTGTAATACAGTTGGTTTTTCTCCTCTGTGGTGAATTTAAAGATGCTATCTCTTCAAACAATATCTGATATTAATGCGCATATGAAATAAAAAGAAAAACATTTTCTTTATTAGACAAATACGAATATCACATTCATAGTGAGCCTGAACTAAAATGTGAATATTTTCAGCTTTTTAAAAAAAAAAAAAAAATCGTAAATAGTTTATTTTTGGCAGATGTGGGCTTCCATAGACCTAGCAAAGTGCTAGTGGTCTAAATACATGTTTTAACGCAGGGCAATTGGTTTCTGGCTCTGATATAATCCACCTCAGTTCTCTGGTGATATGAAAGAACTCACTCAATGATGTTAGGTTAATAAAAGCTGCCAAGCTAAGTACGCGAAAACAGTTAGCCTGCTTAGCTACAAATATCTGTGGTTAGAAATTATTTTATTAGCATTTTGAACATTATGTCCCATTTATAAATTGACCAGAGTGTTGTTACCGCAACTTTAGCCCAGCTTAGTATAAATAGCTAAAGAGGCCTGTTACCTAATTAAAGGTAGATTTTAGTTTTATCTGGTTTAGCTAACAAGCTAATGCTAATTGCTGCTAAAACAAAGATCTGTCATTTCTATATTTTTATCCAAAAAAAATCCATTGTTATTGAAATTATTTACAGTAGTTATTAAATGTGTGGGTTTTTTGTCTTTGTTTTTTTTTGTTTTTGTCAGTGTAGGCTAGGCTTGCGGTTCCTCCCATTTCAATTTCCGCGTTATGTTAAGCTAGGCTAAAAGGATCTATAGGGTACAGGGTTTTGTTTTGTTTTTGGTTTTTTTTGGGGGGGGGTACCTGTTTTTAAAAGGCTTCAAATGTTTTATTCCTAATTAATAACAATGAAAATTAAACATAACCATGATGATGTTAGTATATCACAAAGATGGTCAAAGCTAAAAGGATGTAAAAAGCAAACAAACAAAAAAAAAAACCCCAACATTACAGTGGCTGCTTATACCCTTTGTAATGTTAGCTATGTTGACTGGTAGCTGTTTTGATGACACGCTGATTAGAAGTTTCTCTGATTTCGTTTCCCTTGATTTCAGTCTTTGTGCTAAACTAAACTAATTGCAGTTTGGATTTGGATTTTCTCAATTCTATTTGCAGACTGTAAATTTCTTAGCAACATATAAAAGTGGGGGGGGAGTTGTTTTTTTGTTTTGTTTTGGGGGTTTTTTAGGTGACCTTTCTTTTAAAAGAATGTCTGTAGCGAAATTAAAACTTTCCTTCAGGGAGATGCTCAGCTGGATTTTACTCCAAGTCTGAGAGTTTACTGTTTAGCTTAGCTTAGCATAAAGACTGTAAATGACTAGCTTAGCTCTGTCCAAAGTAAAACGACACCTGATGAGCACCTGTTTCTAATGACTGTAAATGAAAGACTGAAATTATTGCTTGTTTAATATCTCCCTTTCTGCAAATGCCGAACGCTTTTAAAAAACACTCAGCTGTTACACTAACACCAGGATCTACACCTTGTAGTCTCTATAGAAAAATGTGCACCTCCACATGTTGTTCATGCCCCATCAGCTTGAAGTGACTTTTTTATACCGTAGAAGTATTCACGCCGACACTAAGGGTCAGCTCTGCAAATCCGTCAACCCACAAAAAAGCAGAATCAGGGTTTTTTTTTGGGTTTTTTTAATTTAAAGGATTTAATGGATGTTTGAATTTTCAGGTTATATTTTCCTGTAAGTGGTCCTGAGCAGAGAGAGGAGAACTGAAAAATTGCCAAATAAATACATTTTATTGATGGTGAAATGTGTTGACTTTTATTTTTGAACCTTCTGTTTGAATGTCCATAAAAAAGTGTTCACTAATCAGCCACCTCATCCTTTTTTTATTTATATATCTGGATAAAGATGCAGTAAAAGTTTAGAAATTGGCTTCATTTTATATGATGTATGGAGGTATATTCGTGCCACAATAGCTAAGCAAAGTTTACAACTAAGATGTATATTAATAATATTATTGACAAAGTGAAGTATTTGTAAATTAATAAATTCAGTCCTACATCCTTGTGAATTATTTGGGGTCTTTAATTTGAAAAGATTTGCATTTCTTTTCATCATCTGCACAAAGGAAATATTGTGACATCAAGGCTCTGTTATTACTAATATTAACAGCTCACATAAAAAAAGTTGATTTCTGTAGTTAAGCAGCTCAGTCCTTGATGATCATAAAGACTTAAATATGTTAGACAAGTTTGTAAACTTCAATTTATGTAAATGTTTGAAGGAAACTGCAAATATCATTCAGTAAAGTCAGTCTCAGGTTCTGTAATAACGTTTTTATTGTAACCCTGTTGAACCACGCGAATTATTTCCTTTAATTTTTTGTTTGCTGTCGTAATGTGAGATTAAATCTGAGCCTACATGTGGGATTAGGACAGTGACTTTGACTTTACCTCCTCTACAGAGATCA